AAATGCAATGACTTTGATGATCTGCCTCTTCCACTTAAAATATTAGCTCCAGACACGATTCTAATTAATTGAAATAAAAACAGATGTTAGCCAATATATATAATTACAGTTTTAAAACATAATGAAAAATTTTAGTTACCCTTGTAATTGGCATTTAATTTCGTGGCTTGGTTTTCGATGTAGTGAACAAAACCACACCACGGTGTATTCTTTAGGAATGATTACCATTAACTGCCAATGGGACCTACATTGTATGACAAACAAATTAGTTATAAAATTACCATGATTAAAAAACCAATTATCAGTGTAGTCTGTTCCCCTGAGGGATCTGGAGCAGCACAACTCCCTTTAGTGCTGACTCGAACACCATCATGAGCAACTGCAATTTGTTGCTGAGAACGAGGCAAAAGTTCAAACTTCTGTTCAAACTCTTCTCGAATGTTCTTCAATTTTTCTTCAAACTGCATCTCCATTCTCTGCATAGCCTCTTGACTGCAAGAGTCAACAGTACTGCTCCTCGATGATCGTGCACCAAAGAAATCTCGGTGGCTCCAAGAACCACCAACACCACGCACACGGCCTGCGTGCTCTGGCCTTCCTATGACCGTTGTGAGGATATCATCCTGACCATGGGAAACAAATGATTTTTATTTCAATTAATTAGAATCGTGTCTGGAGCTAATATTTTAAGTGGAAGAAGCAAATCATCAAAGACATTGCACTTCATATACCCTAAGGTTAGCAAATTAATTAATACAGGCAATAATATTTAAATTTATTGACTTTGGAAATAATAGTTATTTGTTTCTCATTTTAGTGTAATAAGCAACAAGACTCATTTGAATGTGGCTATTACATCATGTATTGGATGAAAGGCTTAAAGACATTTTTATTCTTCAAATATTATGGTTGTTCGATTTTAGGGATTCAAAGAATTTTATTAAAAGATTTTTTATTATAAAGTATTCAATCAAGATTTTTTTAATATAAAAAAGTTATGTGATATTTAATTAAGACAATTATTTTTTTTTAAAAATATATCAAAATTTGGTTGTATTCAACTATCAAAAAGAAATTTAGGAGTACATTAAAATATGATAATATTAAATTAATATAGAATTTTTTACTTAAAAAATCCGTTGATATTAAAAAACATAAAGATTTTAATTGATTATTTTAAATGATGAATTTTGTAAGATTTTTTAGTAAATTTTACATATAGTCACTAGTACAAAAGGGGTCTTTTACGTCGGAAAAGGCTCCGACGTTAATACGGGAGACATAAATTTACGTCGCCTCTGAGAGACGACGTAAATTTACGTCGGATAAGCCTGGTACCCCTCATTTATCAGGGGTACAGTAGCAACTCCCTTTATTTTTATTCTCTTATTTCCACTCTCCACCATATTTCCCACTCATTTATTCTCTATCAAACAAGACAAAAATTGGACTGCTACTCTACTCTTTCAATAAAGTCGTCTTAAAATTATGAGCTTTTTTTTATCTAAAAAAAATATGACAAAGACAAAACGAAAATTAAACTTAAGTTTTTAATTTTATCCTAACCTCTTCTCTATAACCAATAGACTAATCCTAATAGTGTAAACTATCAACGCTTTTATATATAAATAGTAGTATTATTATCCTACAACTATTTCTCTATTTTGAATTTTTCTTTCTCATCCAGCCTCCTTTGCATAGTAATCTCAAAAATCACAAACAAATTAAAATGAAAGTAGATAAATTTACCAAACAAATTAATATTGGTTGAGGTATTGCATTTTACCATTTGCAAGTACCCTATACCATTTGAAAAAAAAAAAAGAAGGAAGAGCTAGGGGGAAAATAATTAGACAAAGGATTTACACAAAATAAAAAAACAATTGTTACCCATATTTATTTATTAATATCATGGCATGCATATATATTATTTCCCCTGGCAGTCTTTTTCTTCTACATTCTTCGGGTTAACATATAACAAGTTATTACTTGTTTTGACATTTTTGTAAGCAAGAATCTACCATGTAGACAACATGGTCACGAGCATCTGACATGTAAAGTTAATTATCAAAAAACGTAAAAACATAATTAACTTAAAAGGAGATCAAAGTTGTAAGAGAATAAATACCAATGTTGTTAAGGAAGGTGTTCATGCCACAAGCAGTGATACAATATATTGTTCATATCGGTAGACATTTTAGGACATTTTGAAAGGCAAATATCAAAACATATTGGGAACGGCATTCCAGATATTAGACATTGTATGCCACATAATCGAGGACATGTGATTTCAAAATTTGATACAATGTTTGGTACAATTTTCCTAGAGGAAGGATGGTAACTGGCTTGTGCCAAGCCCAACATAATTAAGGCTGAAATTGCAACTACCATTGTTTTCATCTCTTTTCATGCAATAATTTTTCTCAAACTCCTCGTAATCTAACTCAAAATTTCTATAAATGTGAAATTAAGTCTTGTTGTGATGTTTTAAAGGAAAATAAACACTAATTTATAGAAACCAAGTAATGTCGGTAAAATATATTTCTTTTGTCTCATAAGAAATTTCACCTTAAATTATTTTACACAAATTAAAAATAATAATAAATAGATGAAAGAAAATATTAATTTATAAAATTAATCATGTGATTATTTTTTTTAAATGATGCAACACAATAATCACACTCTAAAAAAAATTATTAGGTGTATAAATAAAAAGTTAATAAAATACTTTAACACTACGCTTATTAATATTAATATTATTATTATAGGATAGAAGAATTATAAGAATAAAAGTTGACAATTTTGCGTATGCAGACATAATATTTATTACTGAAATTAATTATGAGTGTATTGTGTATTTATTAACACGTTGAATCTTTTTTTATTACATTTAACACATTAAATATAATTAAACACATTGAATATATTTATAACACATTAAATATTTATTAAATTAATACATTAAATACGAGATCAGAGAATCACCGTTTTTACCTGCTGGCTTAAAAAAATATCTCATTTTTAATTATTAATTATTGTTTATAAAACATATTTTGAGGTAACTAAATTTAAAAAGCATATTAATTAATATATGGCTTTAAAATTAATTTGATCTAATTATTTTTTATCTATCAAAATTACAAAAATATCCTAAAGTTTAAACTTAAAACTTTATGCACTTTACTTGAATCTCCCATCACTATATGAATATTATATGTAATTTATAGGACTTTTTTTCGTATTATAAATTAAATCAAGGAATTAAGTATAAATGATTAATGTACCGGAATTAAGGTTGAATTGTTTGGATAATGTCTAAGTTTAATCCTTGATCAAACTTCCTTATCTTTTGATTGAAACATATTAGTTTAAAGCAAAAACTTCATTTTAGAACACCAGTATGAAAAAAAAAATTATAAATTAATTCACATAATTTTATATAGAATGAATAAAACAATAGGATTGAAAATTTTAATTTACAAAATGTATTAATTAAATTTTATAATAGTTATCTTTATTTAATAATAAATTATACATGTATATATGTAAATTTAATTTTAAAGTCTACATTAATTTGTTAAATATATTTTAGTGTAGAATATATAACATATACATTCATTTAATGTGTTATATAAATATATAACACATTCATTCATTTCGGTAAAAAAATATTATTAAATATATAGTCACATATGTAGTCTTTTTATTAATAATTATTACACTAATTTAGTCACACTACAAGAAATGTTATACAAAATTATTATTATAAATATGATATATGTAAGTATAAATCTATTTAATATATAGTTACACAGTTTTAATATTTATTTTAAATGAGAGTTAATAACATATATATTATGTGTTATTATAATTTATACTTACATTTTCTAATAATGTACCAACATAGATTATATATATAATATAGGTAAAATAATTTTTAGTGACAAATATTAATTATCATTATTAAATATGTACATGACAATTTCTTTTTTGGTGTCAACTTGTTATCCTTATATATTTTATCAGCATTATTTTGTGTCTATAAATTAATATTTATTTTCCTTTAAACATCACAATAAGAATTATATTTGTGCAAATTTTTAAGACAACGGGAACTTCGATAAA